CCCCAAAACCCCAAAACCCCAAAACCCCAAAACCCCAAAACCCCAAAACCCCAAAACCCCATATTCTTCCAATACAAGTTATTCTTAGAAATGATTACTGAAGTTTCTCGCTAAAAGCATTGTACACGACCTAGATTAGGTTAGAGAGAAAATTAGTACCTTCCATGACTCCAAAAGATTCTGACAATTTGTCTGCTCCTTTCCAGCTAAGTCTTTGAGAGTGCTGTAATAAGCAGAAACTTTTTTCTTCTTAAATACAGGCAATGCTGTGTCTCCCAGATACCTATTTAGGAATTATTATTTTGGTTAAAGTACTCTTACATTTCAACATGGACTATGGCCTTTTCTAAATTTTCGATATCAACATCGCACTGAGCTATTGTCTGTGTCAGTGTTGTGATCTGTGTAGCTTTTTGAGAAGCTGATTTAAAAAATGATTTGAATGTCTTCTTTCCTGCATTGAGTTTGTCTAACTCTGATTGGCTGCTTCTTTTCTTACTTTCAGCTTTATTTTTCATTCCTTCTAGTAAATTTTTCTGGGAAATAGCTTCGACTAGAGCATGGAAATCGATTATCTCTTCTTTAACCCAATGCTTAAAAACACTGTAAGGATTATCTACAGTTTTTGGTACGCCATCTAAAGTACTTCTGACTGCATCATTATCAGTGTTTGATACAACACGATTATTTGTGAAATCACTAATTCCGTACAAAGCCACAGTACTTTCTTCATATTTAGCCAAGAATCCACCAAGTTTTGCATCGGCCAGAAGCTTCAATTTCCTGATTTGTTCTAACTTTTTGGCATATTCTTTGAAGTTATTCAAAAACTTAAAGAGATCTTTTGAGCTTCCCACAAAGTCCCTTAACACATCTTTGTATTTGTTCTGAGTAGAAGTAGCGGCAAGGTAATCTACTCCTCAATAGGTTGATATTCTCTCAAGAATCTGCTCACTAGTCATCTTTCCTAGTAAATTCAAATTTTTCTCAACATCCATTTTTGGTCTCAAGAAAATCCCCATTTCTTCCGATTCCCAAAGATGAGGGATTTTTGAGACTTCTTGAAGAAATCTATTGAGAAGGTACCATCTTTCCTTAACTACAATATCTTCTTTGTTTCCGATAGGCTTCTTTGGAGGAATTCCAGGGATGTAGAAGCCAACCCAGCGTTTTCTCATAATATTTCTGAGTGCGTAAAACTCTTTATACCTTCTACAGATATCAAGTTCGCCGTTTTTGTCAACTCCTTTGATCTTATAACTCGTGTGGCCTTGCTTGACTATCTCAACGATACAGATGTCATACTCAGATCTATCCCATTCTATTTTGTCATCCTGCATAAAGGTGGGTTGCATAGTATCTCCAAGTTTGAGGTCTCCCAGATCTTCGCTGAAAGCTATAAGATGAGTTTAAGGGAGTTACCTTGTGGCAGCTTCTCTTCTTCATTGTCTACCTCTGGCTCGTAGTTATATCCCTTATCGTATTCCTCTTCTTCCTCATTGTTGTTCTCTGCTGTCTGGTCCCAATAGGTGTCGTATCTACAAAGATGGGTATGAGAAGGTATTTTAGAAGATTCTAATTGAAATTTTAAGAAAAGTGCTAATTTTCCTAATTTTTAATTGGTCAAGAGCGTTAGGAATGCTTAATTTAAGGATTCAGTAAAGATTTTGAAAGAAAAAGTGTGCTTATCAGCTTCTAAGATTATTTTCAAGGGATAAATTTTAGAAGCAGATGATAGTATTTACAAATATCCAATTCTCAGAAGTACATATCACACCATTGGTCAATAGGTACATATTGATGGTTGATGCTTTTTTCAAAAGAAATTTTAGTCATTTTAAGACTTATGGGTAAAAATAAACCAGCTTTGGTCAGCTCAAGGCAAAGTTAGATGTTGGAATACCAAATTTAATTACCTATTTTCATCCATTTTAATACCTTTATTTATTTAATTGAGTCTCAACTTTTAACATAAGAATGGGGTTTTGGGGTTTTGGGGTTTTGGGGTTTTGGGG